ATACGATTCTGAACAAAGTTCTTTAATGTAATTTCTACAATTTCGTCGAAATTGAAACCGAAAACACTTATAAAAATATTGCACTTAACTTTTTTGGGGGCCATTAATCACAACTTATAATAAATCTCGTGTTAAATATTCAAACGTACCAAAAATATACCTACAAAATAAAAACTAAACAAATGCCTATACATTACTCAACAATTGGCGAAATGTTTTGAAATAGTTTCCACGCTTTTAAAAGGCTAATATACACATTCTGTAAAAGTTGCAGCTGTCTATTAATCGATTTTCAACGAAAACCAAAATCGAAAATATCAAAACCATTAATGCCGTAAACTTTCGCATATTTCCTATGGTTTTTCCTAATTATTATGAAAACTGGTTGGAAAATCAATACATACTCTATACAATTTTTGATTTAAGCAAGATTTCTGGTGAAAAAGTTGTTTACAGACAGAAAATACAAAAAACAAAAATCGCATGACTCATAGTAACAAATACATTCCTCGCTACGCTCTGAATCTAAAAAATTAAGTAAAATGTATGAAATAATATAATAATCATTCTATCATCAAAAATGTACAAGTAGAGCGAGATTACTTTAGTGCTAATTACAATAATACATCGTCTATTCGATTTTTCTAAAATTATTGAATTATCTATTAAATTCCACGCAAGTTTATTGAACTTTCTCTTTTTATTTACAAAATACTTATATTATATTATCATCGTAACGCAAAAAATATGTTCTTTCCCGTGATTGTCGCAAGCATAACAGGAACGACAACGATATAGTTAATCTCATTTTTTTTTTTCTTTCAAAAATTCTCTATTATACATACGAAAATATATTGGCATTACAAAACATATGTACGATGAAATCGGAATTTCAAAATTATTCGAATATTCAATACCTGGGAGGTGGGATTTATCATTATCGAGGAGTCGACCTACATTTCTAAATTCGATATTCACAAACATTGTAATAATTTTTTGGATCAAAAATCGAGAAAGTACCTTTACGTTCCAATATCCGGGTGTACATCTATTATAATTACCTATATTATATGAATATGTGCCCTGCGGTCGTCAATATGCAAGAGTATAGTACGGCAGTGTAATATTCTTATAATCTAAATGTGTTAAACACGCAAATAATAATATTCTCATAACCTGCTAAGAGAAAATAATAATATTATAAACACGACTCTTCCGTTACACATACTCTGACGTTAGGAATTTAAAATCTCAAGCCAAAAAAGTCAGCTTTTGTTCATTAAAAATTACTTTTTATTTTTTCAATATTATTTTTGCAATCTGCAGTACCAATACTATTATGGTTGATGTGATAACCAATAACCAAGGGTATGTTATAGGACTTAAAGTGTATGCTACTTGACTTTTTTACCTATAGCATTGTTGTGATTTGTGTTGTTAAACATCTCTCTCCCTCTCTCTCTCCCCCTTTCTCAAGGATTTAATTATAGCTATAATAAACTGTAGTTATCAGTAAACAAAATCTGTTTATTATAAGAACAAAAAATATTATTTACTTTCAACGAACGGTTGATCTTCATTAATTATAATTAATTAAGCACATTTTATAACATTACGATGAATTTAATATTTTAGTTTATCGTGTATAAAAATGCAACGTCTACTAAAAAAAATGTATTTATTTATTAGAAAGTGTCTTTAAAAATACATTTATTTTTAGAAACTAGTTTAAATTTAGATTTATAATTCAAAACATTTTGTTATACGATAAAACACAAACACAGTATGATTTAAAATAGTAATATACTCAACATAATAACATTAACTATAATAGTATGAGGCCTTTAGTATCAAAACCAGCTAAAAGAACAAATTTTCAAAACGGATATTTTTTGTATTTTTCATTTGGCTATATTTTATTTTATTGTGTGTACAAATATTGAATATCAAAAGTGTCTATAATATAATTTAATTAAGTTGAAAAATTGTAATTAATTTCAAAATTATCCATCTAAAGGTTTGTAAACAAAAAAGCCTTGCAATTTAAACAAAATAATTAAATTAAAACAAATATCGAGAAAATGAATAAATATTCAAAATAAAAACAATGTAAATATTTAAAATATAAAATCTGAGAAAAATAAACAGAGTATAGGCTTCAGAGTTTTTGATTCTGGTTAAAAACTAGGCCAAATTCATGTTTTGTTACCGGAGGTTTTGGTGCGCAGTAAAACCACAGTACAAATTTATAAGTATTATACTGTTGTTACAATTTATCGTAATTGTACCTAACAAACACAAACACTACCGTTTGCCTACGTTTTAACGGTAGAAAGTTGTAACGATAATATTATTACGGTGTAAAGGTAAATAGGTACCATATTATAATAATTTTACACACTTGACGTAAATATTATTTTTAACCGAAAGCGATAGGGTGTAATAAATGTGTAGTAACAATAATAATGAAATATTATTACAAGTAATGGTTTTTTTTATAATAATAAGTAATAGAAAAAAGAAATAAAAATACATATTATATTACCTATGTTATTTGGTGATTATTCGAAATACGTGATATAAACGGTGGCCGTCGTTGACGCGCGTGTCGCGAAAATATGCGACCGATTTCGCGCTAATATTCTATAAAAAAAAAAAAAAAAAAAAAAACTGGAAAGAAAATATTTTGTTCTAATTTTTTTATATATATATATATATATAATGAACGCTTCCGAATAGTTTTAAAAGAATCCGAGTATAAAATACGAAAAACCTAACCCGAGATGTGTTTTATAGTACATAATACACTCGAGGTAGGTATATTTAAATATATAATATTATACTACTCGTATATGAACAGAAGTCTATTTTTCTCACAAAACTAAAATAAATACCTAGACCTGACGGAATAAAAGAAACCCACCCTGTATGGTCCCGAGCCCCTAGAAGAAAAAAAGTGAAATTCAAAATGAACACTTTTGACTTAAAAATTTAAAAATACGGCCGTACTTCTCACTAGGTCATATATTTAGCGGAAAGTTGTGTTTTCCGAAAACAGTTTTTTTTTTTTTGCTTCCTGAAAAAATGTGAAATTTGATAGACGTCATTTTTTTAACAAAACACCGTCGATGTATAACAGACACAATAAAGCGCAACTATCTTGGTTTTCGGAGAAAATTCGACAGAAATGCATCGCAGAATAATCGAATGTTGCACAAGAGCTATACGCGCGTTTTAGAATATACGCTCGATATCTTAATGCTTCTCGTCGAAAAAGTATTCGGAAACGTTTTGTTGTAGTTCTTGAATGCTCCGAAACCGGATTAATTTATATATTAATATGCGCACGGTTTAGTGTGTAGACGTTATACCTGCAGTATACTTGTTCGATGAAAATAGAAACCGTAATGATAAATTACGATACTGATTGGAAAACTACAATGGCCTGTATATAAGCGTACACCGTTTTCGTTTAGTCCCGTTTGTTTTTTTTTTTTTGTGACGGGGGTGGTTGAAAGAAAGTAAAAAAACAGTTATTGTACATCTCGCCGAAATAGAAAACACCGTAGTCCGCATCGTAACGGGAATAATACAAAACCGTTATAATAATGTCTGTGCGAAAGTGTTTCGCTTTTACTTTCAACGTGATCGTCGCGAAAAAAAAAAAAAAACGAAAAAAAAAACACTTTCTCTTCGGCAACAAAATATGTTCGGTACGGTAAACAAAATAAAAATTGTATAACCGTCTCGTGTAGATTCGCAAACACGTCCCCGGGATATCGTCGATCGTGTTTCCCCGTACACGTCTCGGAACCTGCGTATTATATTATACGGTGTATGCGTAGGTAATATTACGGATGGTTCCGGAGAAAGACAACCGACGACGGTTTGATTTTTTTCCCATATTTTTTTTTTTTCGCGCCCGAAAGTAGGAGAACGCGGGGGTTCGGAATATTTTATTCAGCGGTTCGACTGGTATAAACCGACGTCCAATATCCACCCCACTCCGTAACAAATGCGCATTATAATATCGTATACCAGTGTAACTATAATGGCTTGCTGTTCCGCACGGTTTTGTCCGTGCCGATACATTAAACGGCGCAAACATTTTAAAAATCCATACCCGTTTCTATCACAGCTGTTAACCGTTGTTGCCGTTAATTTTTTTTTTTTTTGCCAAGTGTTTTCTCGTCCGCAATAACTACGAACTTGACGAATAATAACTGTTTTGTTTTTTTTTTCATCCGTGTCCACCGTTGCTCACCGAGGTAATCTATAAAATTGAAAAAAAAAAAAAATCGTTTCTTAGCGATTGTCCGCATTGTTATAAGGATCCCCCGTGCAAGTGTCTAGACTCGGCGGTTTAAATTGAAAAAAAAAAAAGGAAAAAATGGAAAAACTAAACAATATCCGCAAGTACGAAAATAAATTGTAATGGTCGGGCTATAGGTCGAATAACGTCGTTATAGAATCTCGCATGGACGTGGGCGGTGAGATTCCCGTCAACTGCATTTGTTGAACGACGGCTCAACAGCGTCGAGTGTTCGGCCAACGGCGCCTTCCCGTCCGGAAATCTGTTGAGAACTTACGCGCGAACCGAGGCCGCATTCGAACGCCACCCCCTGTGACGGGGAGGGGGGGGTGGGGGGGCGAGAGAATCGGCGGGCGGGAAAACGGCGATTAAATCGAAACCAGGTACCGCGTACGCAACAATAATTTCGACCGACGGTCATCGGACGGTCGTCGCTCCCCGCGCCAGCCGTCGCGATATAATAATGATAATGTACGTGGGTATACCGATTTCGGATGATGCCCTCGAACCGGACAACCGAGACCGAGTGAAAGTCACTTTCACACGTCTTCGTCGTTTCCCCTCTATCTCGCGGGCTCGCGCAGACGTCCGGTGTGCGACCCGCGGCTCGGCGGCCGGCCGTGTGCGGCTTACGCAGTCGGTTTAGTAGTCACCGGACGACGATCATGCCAACAGGCCGCTATCTGCAATGCTGTCACTGAACCGATTGGTGAGTACAAAACGAGCGAAAACTATCATTGTTGTTATTATTTTAATTTGTAAGCGTTTGGAAAACGCGCGCGTTCCGCGTCCCCGTGCGGCGGCTGCCGCAGCCGTGCGACATGCCCGCGTGAACCGCGGTGCGGATTTTCCGGAACACGCCGCCGTTGACGACGGTTGGCTGAATCGGCGGTTAGCGCGATATGTGAGCCGGTCGAACGACCGCGGTAACCGCGTACACCGGGGCGCGCACAGAACGTCTAGTACCGCGCGCGCGCGTATAATCGCGTTTCACGACAATCGCTCGGTTGTATAAAAGGTTATAGAAGGCGTTATTATTCTCGGCCGAGCCGCGTTTTCCGTTACCGTTTTTGTTCCGCTCGGCTTTCTTTCTTTTTTTTTTTATTCGTATTCCGCAATACACCCGCGTGTTACGAAATTCACGCGCATTTCGTAACGCGACCGCGTTTAAAACCGTGTTTCGATACGGCGGCCGGCCGACGCGGGGGCATAGCAGTGTGAAGGGTGGTTTTTTTTCTAAAGTTTTTTATCGTCGCGGCCGCTTCCCCCTTTCACACGACCCAACCCCTTGGCCCTCCTAGCCCGCTGGAATATTTCGATACGCTGTCTTCGCCGTGCGCATTGCGACCGTGCATTATGATCTACAAGAATAATTATTGTTTTACGACGGCAGGGGCGATATTTTGTAACCGCGCGCGGTACCTGTTGCGCAAAACACCGTGCAATAATAATAATGCGCGCACGCCACCGGGACGCGGACGGGAACCGTCGTCGCCGCCGCCGGGCATTGTTTCTTCCCCTTTTTCGCGCTCGCCGACCTACCCCAGTGCCCGCGCGCGCCGCAGCGCCGACTATTTGTGGACGTAGAGAAAAAAAAAAAAAATGTTTAAGAAAATCCCCCTCCGCGACACGAACGGGCTTTACGAGCGCGCCCCGTCGGCCGTACGCGCGAGTCACGTCGCGCGGCCGCGGCCGACGGCTCAGTGAAAGTGATCGGCCGCTACCGCCGCCGCCGCCTCTGTCAAAGCGCTGCCTGTTGTGTGCGCTCGCGCACGTATTCGTACGTTTGTGTGCGCGCGTGCACGAGTATTCGTACGCGTGTGTGTGCGCGTGTACGCACCGTATGCGTACGCGTGTGTACGGCCGCGCGTGCATTTGTGTGCGGTTACGACACGGGCGCGCGCGCGTACGCGTGTTCTGCGCGGCGGCCGGTGACCTACTTTTGTTACGGACCCGCCGCCGCCGCCGCCGCCGCAGCGCCGAGTGAGCGACTTGACGTCGGCCTGTCAAGTCGCGGAGCGCCGCTGTGTGTCCGGAGCGCGGACGGCCCGCGCGAGTCCGACGCGCGAACGTTAAACGTAGAATAGAGCGAAAAAAAAAAATTTCAAATGGTTACTCGAGAGACGCAGCAGCAACGGCAGCAGCAGTAAGTCGTTCTTTTTCGCAATTGATATTACTATTGTTATATTTTGTTTTGACTGTTATGAACATGTACGTAGATATTTTTGTTTTATTTTTTGAAAATTTCAAAAATCGTCGAAACCCCCGTTTTCGCGTCGCAGACGATAAGTATATTACCCGTGACATTATTTAAGAAACTTGTGTTTTTATCGATAATTTTCCCGCCAGAGCGTGAAAGTGGAGATTCCCTTTGTGAGGCACACACACACTCGGGCGGGTGTCTCGGCCTCGATTACGGTATATAGGTCATCGCGGAGGAGCGGGTCGTCCGTCAAGGTCGTCCGGTCCCTTTGCGTAAAAGGGCCGACGCCGCGGGAAAGGGTACGACACGACCATAGTATATGGTATTATTAAGTAGGTCAGACCAAAAGACGCACGCGCAGGGCCGAAGGCCTACGGGGATTTTTTTTTTTTTCTTATAGATTCTAAGCGAAACGAAAATGGTGATACTATGGTGCGGATTCTGTTTGGGTCTGAGCACACCTTATTTACCGAGCGATCAAGATCCAATCGAAAAATGTACAGGACAACTTTCTCGTAGCATTTTTATTCTAGTTGGAGCGTTGGGGGTGGTCATTTTTGGATTTCCCTCGTACCTAGTTTTCTAAACAAACGGAAAAAATTGGTAGTCTCGTTTACAATCATTGTCGATTTCCGGGTTACCTTGGCAAAACACGAGAAAAAGTACGACTGATAACACTTTGCTCAGAATCGTTTTCCGTTAACATTGGTTTATCGTTGCGTACAGACATAAATCGAATTACTCTATACATATTCTTTATTTTTCAACTTCCCGCCTAAAACGTTGGCGCACACGCATCAGCAGCATCAGCCGTTTTTTTTTTTCTTTCCAAAGTTTTCCCCTCAAATTCGATTATATTGTCCGTTTTTCCACGCGTCCCGCGTACGTACAAAAAAATTGTCGGCCACTATGCACGCCCGAATAGGCGAGCACAATAAATAGCGAATTCGGAAATCCAACCCGGAAACGGTCGCGTGTATAAGAATTATAATTTACCGCGTAATTATAATTATTATATTATTACGCGTACGCGAGATTTATTTTTTCTGCTAGTTCGATGACCCACGCCGCGTTGTATTCGTTGACGTCGTTATCGAATGTATTTATATATTGTAATATTAAATTGTCCTCGTGTGTCGCTATGATAATATAAACTTTCACGATGGAAAATCGGCGCGGTTGATAAAAATACACCTATATATACACCTTACGCGCAAACGATGTTTAGTCATTATATCAATTCACTGACAGCGAACAGTAAAATAAAACGGTTTTCAAAAAAACACTAGTCTGACCTGAACTAGATCGATGATGATGAATATTGCGGGGAAAAACGGTGCGGCGGTTCATTTACGTATACTTGACGTTAGTATCGATTTTCGAGCAAACATAAACCAATATAAACTGAAGTGAGACGTTTCCAAAAATAACTATAAAAGCTCTGAACGTTTTAACAATATTGCCTATAGGCTACAAGTACCTACTTTAATAGGTCGTCACGCAGTAGCATTTGCCGTTTTTGTCCTTCTCTAAACGGTATGTATAACGCAAATGTGTTAACATGTAAAACAAATGAATTAAAGACCTTTAAAATCGGTTTTAGCCCCATTGAAACACCCATTGTGAAATGTGTAGATGACGATATTCCAAAAAAAAAACTTTGTCGGCCTTTTAACATTTTCTAAATATTCAATCTCTGTTATCGGTTATTGAAGTTTTGTTTTCAAAAGACTTGTACATATTTAAACAATTAATCAAAAAAAAAAAAAAAAAACGGACATACTTCGCACGATGGGTGGACCACTGTTGTAAGTGAAAAGTTGAGTAGATAGGATATAAAGGGGAATTAAATTTATATCTATACTCAACGATGTACCATTGCTAACAAAATACGATTCGGAGCCAAGTTTCCAAGTTTTCCTACGTTATTTCCCGGTTTTTCCCGAATTATCATGAAAATCGATTGGATAATAACTGTCTTAAACCCAGATTTAATTTCCTTTCAAAAAATGTGCTACACTTGAAAATCTGGACAAGATTTCTCGTAAAAAAGTTATTCACAGATAAAAAAAACCAATACAACCAAAATTATTAATAACAATCATTATTATAAACCAATACATTCGTCGCTTCGCTTAGAATCTAAAATTCGTCGATGATAACCATCTTCGAAATGATCTCGTCTACCACGTGTCGTTTTATCTCTAAACTCAATTTTCAAGACTTTTTCGATTGTTTTACGCGGATACATTTTCGTTTCACTATCCGGTGTATAAATGAAGACAACTGGAAATGATCACTGTGGCGGCCTCTTAAGGACCGTGCAAATTTGTTTTCTGATTGTGGTGCGTAGACAGCTACTGAAAACGATATGTTACGAAAAACAGTGTCAACGCACAGTGTATATCTATAGAAACATAATACATTAATGTGACATTTATAGGTTAAATTTTTAACACTTTTAACGTACTTGCAGATGCTTAAAATATTATATAATTACGCGTAATATTATGTTGAAATCATCTAGACATTCATATCGTCTACATATTAAGTAGGTATGTTATTACTTCAGTTGTATTCAGAGTATAGTATAGTATATAGGTATTGGAGTGTCGTAAATAATTGTTCGTGTGTTTTTTTTTTTTTTATTATTATTATTTCTTCGTGTTGATTGCGCGTTTAATAATACTCAATAAAAATTAACCGTCACACGCCCGGTAATTATTATTCGCATATATTAATATTATTATAATAATACAATTATACCAATTGCATTATTAGTTATAAATACCTACTGCAATGCGTGCAGTCCCATTATGACCGTACACAGGGTGTCCCGCGAAGTGCGAAGATATATACCCATTGAAATATCCCCCCGAGATAATAAAGATAATTAAATTATGTTAAAAATATTTTATAATACTCTCGCAGGGATATGGACTACAAATATTTATATTTCAATTAAACTTTTATGTTTTGGTAAAAAAAACTAAAAAAATATTTTTTTTATTTTATGGAATTTATTCTTGTGAAAGTTTTGAATTTCAACTTTTTATTTTCGTTAAATGGGTGATTTCTAATAATTGTGTGAATTTCCGAGAAAAGTACCGATAATTATGTAGCAGACTGTACCTAATCGCATTCTCTTATCGATTACTATTATTATTACTATGACTAATTTACTATATATTTTTTTTCTCGTAACTTTAAAAAATTATTAAAAATCAAGAATTTAATGAAAATAAGAAGTAGATATAAGTCAACATTTTAAAAAGAATTTTAAATTCTGTGAAATGGCATTCTTTACCTTTATCTTTATCTTTTTACCAAAACATGAAAAATTAATTTAAACATAAATATTTGTAGTTCTTATCCCTGTGAGTAATATAAAAAAAAAAAAAAAAAATAGAATTTGATTGTCTTTATTATCTCCGGAGGTATTACAATGGGTATATCTTCGTGAGACACTGTATAATATATATAGTTCGTTCACGTCGTAGGTAAAACGTTTTATAAATGAAAAAAAAACCGACCGCATAACAAACGACATCCAAAGAAATATTATTATAATATCGCGTTGTGACATATTCCCGAAATGTTAATGAAATCGGCTGTAGATTTCCAAATTTACATTTTTTTTTTTTTTTTCGATAGGTACGTGACATAAAAATGCAAGCGCATAGAAATACTGAATATCTGCACAAAGAACAATTTGAATATTATTATTACTTTCAATGGTTACAACATAATATTATATATGCATACAGATATACAGTATATTACACTCAAATGGTTACACGAAATATTTCATCCGGATGGACTTTAGACCAAAATGGAGTATTTTTATGAAAATCGGTGATTCCAAAATACACGTCCTAACTTAGAACTTCTAAGCCTATTTTTTTAAATTTCAACCCTTGTGGTGCATAGACAATTTGCTTTCTCTTACATGGAAACACTTATGTTTTTCAAGCAGCTAATACATAAAACGCAATAGGTACTTCAAAAATGATAAAAATGAATTACTGTTTCAAGAGGGAAAAAATAAAAAAAAGCTTAAAGATAATATCATGAATTTTACATTTTTGTGAAAAACAGAGATTAAAATTTGTTTAATCAACTTTTGAGATGGAAAAAATTGTATTAATTAAAGTATTCCTTGCATAAAACAAATCTGCGCTTTTCGAATCTGGTATGTTAAAAACAGATTTTTCTGTTAAATAAAGTATAAGGTATCGCACATGCGCAACGGTTATACAATTCTGAAAATACACTCAAAACGTGCGTTTTGAAAACCCCCGATATTCCTTAAAAAAAAAAAAAAATATTCGATCCAAGTTCACTCGCTTAAAACATTACGTATTGCCATTTTATAGTGAAACAGGCTCGTGCAATATGGAAGCTTCTCGGTTTTTGTTTATTTCAAAGCTAGGTGTACATATATATACATGTATACCTGCATTGAACAAATCTGTGAAATCGTTTACACTGAAACGTATGGTGGGCCAATAATTATATATTGCTCACAGTTGTTATAGACAGAAGTTATATTTTTTTAACAAAAGCTCATCTTCACATTAATTCGTATCTGCAACGGTGTTTATTTGTCTACACAGTTACAATATGATCCATTTCAGCGGGTATTCCACTCTAATGAGAAGTGTACTCACTCACTTAAATCAGAGTGTATTAACTTTTTTCAAAAAAAAATATATATTTTTTTTATTTCCATCAACCCGTTTACGAGACATTGCACTTTTAAGTTTAAGTAGGGGCATCATTTGTATGGTGGCACAGAGTACGGCTTTTTAATATTGCTCCACTAGTGTATCCACTTAAATGGATCACCTTATTTATATAGTATAAATAAATGTATTTGTAAAGAAGAATAAAAAAATTTTTATAATTTTGATCGAGCACCCCCCCTCCCCCTATTTTATTTGTCTATATAAGAAAATAGTTTTGATGAAATTTGCTGACAACAACTCTATTAGACGAAATCTCTAATATTTTAAAGATTTTTGAAGTTTACAAGAAACTTTGTCAAGAAATTTTTTTAATAAATATATGTTTCTTTTTTGGTTGATCTTCGTATATAAAATAAGGGCTTTCCTAATGCTATATTATGTATGAAAAATTTAGATTTTTTTTCATGCGACTAGAGTATAATAAATTACAAAATGAAACCTAATTCTTTAAAAGAACATATTAAAATATTTAATATACTAGGTTAATTGTATAGGTATATATCGTCACGACACGCGAATTCAACACGCAAATATTCGGACTAGTAATCGAGTTTACATTAAAAAGCCTTTACATTAAAATAAAAATCGAAAAAAATATTTTCCCGCGTCATTATAACAACAAAATTCGATGATGTGTACCTACGCTACACAGACCACGAGGGTTCGTTTGACCTGTTGCTAATTAATATGCGTTTTTTTTATTGAACAAAAAAAATAATAATATTCTAATCCACTTGACCTATATAATGGGGTTATCGTTGTAGTTATTATTATTTATTTTTTTTTCAGTAACTTTGACGTATACGGTAACGCTTATAATAATTTAGAGTTCGGCAATAGGAGGAGGGATATCGAATTCGAAAAAAGGAAATTTGTAATACTTCTATGTGATGAAAATCGTGTGATTGTGTCTTCACGTCGAAATAAATCCGAATTTCGACATTTTACGATTACATTTCTATATGTAAATAAATGATTGATACAAAAAAAAAAATAGAGGAGGGGTAATATATAAATATATCTCAATAATCTTCGCCTTCGCCTTTACAAATACCATTTGACGTTCGTAACCCCGCGAATAAAATATACGCTACAGAAATCGACATGTGTAGATAAACTGCAGAACAAAAAATCCGTTTTTCCATCATTCGGGTCGTATATACAACTGAATTATACGTAAGCACGACGAAATAGCTGGTGCGGTGACGCGATTTATACGGAGACGTGGGAACAGCCACAAGTGCTCATACCATTGTATACACTCTTCATTCTCCTCTCTGCCCCGACCGAAAACGTCGTCGGTATAAATAAAAACATAAATACAATATTTATACAAATCGTCATTGTCGGGTTTACCGCGACCGCGGTAATGCGGTTATACGATTTACTTCTGCGGTCGACCAGTGTATAAAGTAAATATACCGAGCCCGAAAGATGATGACTTCGCGGATAGTGCATACATGAAAGAGATTCTGTTATTTTTTTTTTCATATACGATTTCACTTTCTCCTTTTTGGACCTGCGGTCTTATAATACGGGCGTGCTAGTTCGCATTGAGATTTTCGACAAATTCGAACAGACGAAATTCACTAAGTATTTTAAATACGACAAAAGGAGAAAGCCGTGAGCTGTTTATGACAATAGCAACCCCCAACCCTTCCTCATTATTTCGAAAAAACTAAGCTCTAAAAAGTAAAACATAAAATATCTTTTCTAAATCTGTTACCGTGCAAGTATTGTAGAAATCTGATTCTTTGGGTTTTCGTATACGTCATATGACGAGTGGGGTAGTTAATTTGTTGAACAAATTCTGTTGTATATTTTAATTCTACTTCTAGGTATAATTATAAATCATACGGTTGTTTTTTTTTTTTTTTGCGTTGGGATTTCCACCCCTTAAATATTACATATGCTCCTTGTCCTCTTAGGCAATTCGCAAAACACAAACATTCTGAAGTCTCATAAGAAATATTCACTAATCACTTCACTATACCCACTAGATTTCGGAATTCTATATCATCTCTGATTCTGATCAAACGTACATGAGATTACTTGTAAAGTACATACTAAAGGTACCTATCAATAATCGTTCAACCAAACAAACGAATTGGGCCATATGAGTTCAATTTACTAGAGTTAGACATATAAAAAAAAAAAAAAAAAAAACATTTGCGGCGAACACCATGATGAATACCACTTCATTTTATTCGAAGTCAGTTAAAAACGATTCATAACAGTTCCCCGCGAGAGAGAAATATGCCGGCCACGTTTTTTGCGCATTACAATGCAATTAGATTTAATACGAAATTGCATGGAAAATATATTCGGTGTATAAATTCAGAGTGATCTGGTTATTATTTATGTATGCAACGAAACGATTCTTGCGTTGACGAATTTTGGCGTACGACGACACCGTACCGTGGCTGTTACCATCGCCCGTCGATTTTGCCGGGTGACGAGGTGAACCTACACTACGAACACAAATAGAATTATTATTATTATTATTATACAATCTGAATATTAAACGAAAATGCACATTTTTTTTTTTTCTTTCTTCCGATTTTTATACTGACTTGAAACATCAAGATTTTCGTTATTACGAATACACGATCGTTTCGGCGGATTAAACGTGTTCGAAATTTGAAAAAAAAAATAATCCCGATATACCGACACATATTTTGTGTACTCATGATTGTTTCTCTCCGTGCCGCTGGTGTATCTTCCTGAAACAGTAAAACGAATGTTATAATTTCCATTATTCGGTATTATCTTAGTTCTGATGTTTGGTCACGCATAGCCTCTTTAATTATTGACATGGATAATTTTTGCAGGATGTACAAAAAAAATGCTATACCTACTCCGACCAAATACAATTTTTACAAAATCTGTTTTCAAAAAATTAATTACTTTAAAATAATTTAATTATGCTTTATATTTTATAACTCCAAAGGTCGTTTAATTTTTGGTTTTAATTTTTTTAGTACTTCAAATTTTTCAATGGCTCTATAATATTTAAATTGAGTTGCAAAATGCTGTTCCACAAATTTCATGAGCATTGAGTCGAGTCTTTCTTCTGTCATATTACTTCTTAGTTTTGATTTCACAACATTTAATTTAAAAAATTGTCATTTACAGGAGCAACTTGTGATTTGCATGGTCACAATAGTTAAAAACATTTTAAACATATTTAGAAAACTATCATATTTTGATAATTTATGTAGCTAGGTATGTACTATTATGTCATGCCCTCGTGGGTCATTTTTCAAGATGACCAAGCGCTTTTACTATCATTGTCTACCAATATTATTAAAAAGAACGCGAAGTATTGCAGTCAATTAGTACAAAAACATGACGGTTATGATACTACGATTCGACACGAATTTTTTTTAAAGATTTTCCTTCCCGTTACAGGGCATGCTTGAATCTTACACTCAATATAATGAAATATGTGTAACTGACGATTGCAACGCATTTGTTAGGTCGTGATATGCGCCATATTTTCCCCCGTGGATCGATTTATAAACAAAATATAAATATTTTATATTTATTATCTATAGTATTGTATTTGAATGATAATATTGTATCTTTTTAATAATAATAATAATAGGTTTATTACATTAAATTGTTACCTGATATATGGTTTTTGTCATTTTTCAGTTTCTGCTGGTGTTCGCGTCAGTCGCGTTGGCCGTTTCTATGGTCGGCGCAACATTGACGCCCAGAGCTCCGAACTTCCAATACTTCGAAAGGTATGTACCCGTACAAATGTTCATTATAATAAAATATTTGATTACGGCGTCAAAAATATACAAACAGCGCTGCCATATCACCCCAGTGGCGGTAATGTATCTTTAAGGAAAACGGGTTATGGTGGGAAAACAGTTGATTTTTTGAAAACACTTATCTCCAAAAATCATACTTGTATGAATGTTCTCATATACATCAGAAGGGTGGTTTTATCCCCTACTAAATACATATACATAAATATTAAATAAAACCACGATAAAAACTGACCTTCTCCAATACTCGTATATTATAATAATATGAAATTGCAGACAAAATCATTTCATTTTAAGTTAAAAAATAATTATAATGTATTTTTAAATTTTAAAAGCACTTATCACTTGGTAGTTTTTAGCGCGTTTCTTAACGTTAAAACTATTATCAGATATTGCTGATATGAATGATAAACACGAATACACGATATTACGTGCAATAATTTGGAGTTTTGTGGTTAATATTTATTTAATAAATAAGAAAACACAAACACGGTCAGGGGAGAAAGGGTTGATTTCCGTTACCTCCTCTTCCCCCGAATGTACTGTTACATTTAACACCGACACTTGAGTATAATTTATATGTATAGCGTGTACCTATATTAGTTATGTTAGTTTTTTAAAAAGTGTACACTTTAGAGATACGTAAAACACTACTCTCACCAGTCACACCAGTCACATAATCAAATAATTATTAGATGTCGAATCTACACTATAGTGTCAAATGAAAAAATGAAAAAAAAAGAGTGTACACTCTTCGTTAAAACAAACAAAGCTATTATTAAAAAAATACACATATTATAGAAGTCTATGTTTTAATAACACCCGTTTGTTTTTTTCTGCAGGCCTAAGTACAGGTACCCGTATTACGATGAACAAGGGCGCGGCCGACTCCTGTATGGTTACGGGGGACCTGAACTTTACCAGTACAAGTCGTATTCGCCTTTGGAGGGCATTCACTGACGACGATGAAAGCCATCCAAAAAAACTTCGTCGTCACACCGTCACCGCCTCCTCCAACACCGCGGTCTCCCCCGCCGCCTCGATGGTTCCACCGTGATGGCGGTCTTTACATTTCGCCCGCCGTTCAGACGTGTCCCGGTAGTGTTTTCGGCGTTATACATTACAATAAACTGATAATACTGATAATGATAATAATTATATCGCTTCAAATATTCACCTGATAATGCAAAATATAATAAAATAGCAGGTAAATAAATTAAATATAGTAACAAGTACGCGCGCTTGCAAAAGAAAAAAAAACACCCCCTTTTAAATTTAAATATATTATAAAATAAAATAATGTGGTTTGAATAAAATAATTATATTAGAATATATATATATATATATATACATATATTAATATATATATATATATATTAATTATTAAAATATAAATTATTACACAATATTTATAAATATATTGTGTATTTAATAATAAACATAAGAGAAATCCTCCGACGAGGCTCGCTGGTGGTTCGAATGTTACCAAAAACCGGTAGCAGATGCGTTTGCATTCCTTTACGAATTTACAAACGACGACGACGACAATGACGAAACTATTATATCTGACTTACCTGTATTATAAATAAGTCGTTTGATGGCTCGCAAAAAAAAAAAAAAAAAATAAGAAAGCCTATTTTTGAAATTCGTAAACGAATAGCCCGATAGACAAAAAATAACGGTCTGCCGTCCGGTTGTATATCTTAATAAGTAGAATCGTATATGTTAAAAAAAATATTTTAAGCCGAATAAAATAATAAAAAAAAAAAAACTTATATATGTGTAATATTCGTTAGGTATATTATACTCTCTATGACATTATAATAATAATATGTGTTTAATTTTTTTTTTTTTTTTTCTTATAAACTTAATTGTATTTTTATTTTTTTTTTTTAACGCGTAAAAAAAAAGGTATGTAATATTATAATATGTATTAAAATATATTATTTATGTTTATGTATTATAATATTATACATATTGTTATACTGTATGCGCGGTGTCGATAATAACATAATGTCGATATTAGTTAGTTTAAGAGTTGTTTTAATGAAATAAAAATACTGTTTAGGTGTGTGTAACAGTAATAAATATAATAAAATAATTGTATAAATAATAATTATATATACCTACGCCGAGGAGACGTCTTAACGGCTTCGAAATAAAAAATACCGCCACAACGTGTAAAACCACTCCACTCACACTACTCACTCATTCAGTCACACATAAATATGTTATATTATCCTATAATAAAACGTAATACACACAAATAATATTATATTAATATAATTTGAATATATATATATATATATAATTTTGTGTTACTGTTTATAAAATATTGTGGTAAATTGTCAATTGTTAAATATTATTATTAAAAAAAAACTGTTTTTATTTTTTTTTTTTTTTTTTATTCGTGATCAGATAAATAAATAATAGGAAATATTTATTGTTATATACATACATCAATTTATTCTATGAATAATATTGCATTGCATTGCGTGTTGTTTTAATTGACTTTAATAAAAAAAAAAAAAAATCCGTTTGTGTAAAAATATGTATTAGTTATACAATGTATTGTACATTTTACCATATTTATTGCAATCTACAAAAAAAATCGGTTTTATTGCAATTTTAATTGATTGCAAATGACGAGTTGCAAGTATAATACAATATGTGATGCACACCGATAACAATCAAATTATATTGTACAGTGGCGTATCCAGAATTTGCAAAAGAGAGCGGACGATAAAAAATAACAATAATACGAAAATAAAGTACCGCCGGGAAAAAAGTTGCACATCATTCGAGGTAGGTACCACTTGAAAATATCAGTGTATTTACGCTGCCTAAGAGGAAGGGTTTTCAGAAAAATAAAAATAAAAAGCCACACGGTGTATAGAATATTTTATACATTAAAATTGAACACAATACGAGTTATTGAATTATGTAGAATTATTGAATCAGTAACTCTACTAAATTAGTGCCAGTAGTGATAGTACATAGGTATACAACATTATGTCAATCCATATATTTCACTGTCGATTGTATAAGAAAGGGATTAAAACGATGGTCCGTCGTCAATCGTTATATATAATCCCGTCGTTAGTCGCGAGCACATCGTGAGACTTGAGCCTACAAGACGTCATCCGACAAAATATTATATTAAACATTGTATGTTTTATGCGTTGCTGTCAAATTTGACATTTCCCCTTATATTACAGTCTCGCTTATTAAAGTTTATAATATATTTACATTTACTCTGAAACCCTTCAAAACACGACATTTTTTTTTCTTTTCAAATTACACACATACCAACCGTGTATGTGTCCAACACATCCTTTACCCGTTGAGACCAAAGTTTCAATGTCACATTTGAGTGCGCGTATGCTTCAAAACCATAATAACCGGTAATTATTGTAACCCGTTATTACCCGTAGGCCCCAATTATAATTACAATCATGAGTTGTTTTAAGAGTTTAAAATTATAAACGGACAATTCGATATTATACAGTGACATAGTGTTATGATTATTAAAATTTGCAGACAAATGTTTCCAACGATCAGGATAAAATAATCACCCTACGTATAGTACGTCACAAAACCAATACAATATGCACACATCAACTTATTCATTTTGAACCGATGGACGTTGTGATTATGTACGTGAGTGTTTATTGTTGTAAAGAAAAAATGATCAGATTCGACAAGTGGTCCTACAACCAGGGTCTAAAATTATTCGCACACAGTGTACAATAGCAAATATTATGGAATGCGCAGTAGCCAATTTATTAGCGTGTAATCATTAGTACCTATTTTAAATTTCAATACTATATTGGGTAGTTTTCCATCTATTAGAACTCTTGGTTAATATTGAAAGCGCTATCAAAATTCTCAATACTTTTTCCGATTTTTTCACGCAAGAACATTGGAACACGTTGAATTTCCGCATCCGGTTCTACGTAATGCAATTATTTTAAATTTTCATCAGTTTTTCATCTAGATGTGTTATTTGATGTATTCTCGGAAAACACTTTTTGTTTAATAAAAATACTCCCATAGTCCAATAAATAATCCAGTAGGATATTTTTGACATATATTCTATGATATTTATTTATAAGCGCCCGGTGGGCATAGAGTACAGAGGTAATACATGATACAATGGATACAATGATTAAAATTATTTCAGCTAACACTATAGAGACAAATAACAAGGAGTAACAAAAATAAGTCAAGTATCAAGACAACATTTAGCACTATGAACTATAAAATACAACTATTTTTCAAACAATGTTTCATCTTCGAGAGAGAATTTAAAAAAAAAAAAAAAAAAATCAAAACTATTAAGTAGAGTAAACCCAGAGTAAACATCCGATTATCTTATATTTAAATAAAACGAACGAACGAATGGGTATGATATTAACTGTTAAGTACATTCATAAATTATAATAATGCATATTTAAGCTATTAAGTACTTAAATTTTTTTGTGGGAAAGGTAGAGTATGTGTGCAGTGGACAATTTCGAACATTTTTTTTTATTCAGTCACTGCTTTAAAAGGTCACAATAACCTGTGCAGATCGTAAAGTAATAAAATACTGTATACAATAAAGAAACATAAGACCATTTTTATTTACTCGTCGCGACATTTTCATTATGTTTTACCCAGTTTACATTCAGCCCACTTCCGTGGCGGTGAGCGGGGAAGTGAGCGTAAAAATGGGCAGCGCGAGTGTGCGAACACGTCACTCGCGCTGATCGCGCTCCTCGCGCTGACGCTGCCCGGCGCTACCGTCAAGAGCGGTAAACTGAGCAGCGCGAGCAGCAACATAACCGGCAATGCGATCAATCCGGCAATCGCTACTCGCGCTGCTATAATTAGCTGGGCAATGTAAACACTCACTGCCGTCGCCGCTGTCACAGAAGTATTTCGAGGAGTAAATACGGCAGCGCGGAGTAGCAATGGCAGCGGCTGAATGTAAACTAGGTATTATATCTTTTATTTGCACGGGTATGTATAGCGTATATTATCTGCCCATTTCGACCGGGATTATTGTTTGTTTGTTGATTATTGCCACTGAGTGATAATAATATTATCGTTAATATTTCCCGGCGACCCGGAAATATGCGCGACTTTCAATTTCAACAAAAATAAAACAACAAACTGCTGATTTTGCGGTTATGTTATCCTACCTACAGTGGCGTGTAGATTTAGCCGAGTTACGCAGACTGCAGACATATTATGTCATACAAATTATTCAAGAGCCTATCAGCGCCGTCAGCGGTGGATAAGGGGTAGAGTTCTAGAGGGTGATCGGAAGATCGCCCGCCCTCTTGTGGCTTTCGTCGTCACACGCACTGTGTGATATTATTATTATCTACAACTTAACACTTGAGAAATTGTACCCCGTTACCCCCGTGAATTTTAAATTCGCTCTCTTACACTTACTCAGAACTGGGATACATCAGCCACTGCTATATATTACAAACAGAGTGAAATTTATTATTTTACGACGAAATACATTATGTTGTTGAGAAAACTATTTGAAACGTTAAAGATAATATGGTATTAGCATACCATAGAACTATAAATAGCTACCTACGTGATAATTTAATACAACAAGTATAAAATATGACCGTCCCCATGGATACAGATAACATGTCAATCAATCATCGCTCAGGGTTGACATGCTCTCTTAATATGAAGTCTCTCTAATTATAACGATAATCTATACCTAGGATATTTGATACATCAAAAGTAATAATTATAATGCAATTATTTATCAACAAAATTAACATTTAAAAATTTGCATTGCTAAATTTTAAAATAATTATTAAACTTTATTTTAAATACTTGATTAAGCAACAAACATGTTTATGTCAAATTCTTTATTACTTTGTTTTCCGTTTGAAAACGAGTTATAACTCCTTCTAGATCTACATCAATATTCCTATGTACATTGTAAC